CGCGGCCACGGCTCCTCCGCCCTCACGACGGCGTCCTCTGGCATGAATTTGCGGACAAAGCTCATGTGCTTCCCCGACATGATGCACGAGGCCGGAAGAATGGCGTTGCCGGCGTCTTGTGCCATGGTGACCGAAGAGAGTGAACAGGGGTTGGATGAGAGATGTGGTGGTTGAGGAGAGAGATGTGGTGGTTGAGGAGAGAGATGCTGGGGGCTGAGGTGCAGGAATGCGAGAGTGAGAATGGCGAAAGGAAGAAGAAGGGGTCTCCTCCTCTCCCCCTTTTATACTCGCCTCGTCTGGGCCTGCCTCCTCAGTTCTCTCAGTCGCTGCTGCCGCCCCCTTGATTCTCGCGCCCGCTCGTCCCACTCGCCCCGCTCGTCCCACTACGTCCATGTCCCGCATTCAATGCGGCTGACAGCGGCGTAACCGACGTGAGGCGCGCGATGATTTCGGATGTGGCTAGGCGGGCCCACCGATAATCTCGTTTCGCGCACCTGACGGACGCGCGACCGATGCGACGCGAAGCGATAATTCCGGATGTGGCCAGGCGGGCCCTCCATTTTCCCAGATTGCACGCCCCCATGCGTGGCGCGATCACCCATGGGCGACCTGTCATCATGGTGAGCACTTAAAGCTGCCCACATCGGTGAAGGCTGCTCAGATTCCCCGCGGGGCCCACCATCACAAGACGGAGGTTATTAGGCACCGCACCAGACCGTCCCAGGTGGGGTGCGGTCGGACGTAGTACCGGGGGCTGCTGTCGGTGATATGGGCCCGGGGGTACCCACGTTAGGGGGAAGGAGCGGAGGAGCCCTTCCCCCTAGCCACGTGTAAGCAGCCGAGAGGCGCCCTGCGTCCACCTAGGGGCCTCGGGGTACCCCGTCGCACCCCTCGGGCCCAAGGGGTTGTGCCACCCCGAGGCCCCCGCTCAGCTGCCACTCGGCGGCTAAGTGGGTGGAGGAGGGGGCGCCGCTGGCGCATTTATGAACGGCGTCCCAACCACCCACGCAACGCACGTCAATCACTTGGACCGGTCTGTGACCGGTAGCAGATAGATGGGACGGGTGGCAGCGCACCCACGCCCCGCCCTGTGTCAGGCGGCGTAGGGGCAGGTATGCCCCATCCCATCAGCCATTAGGGCTCAGCACGCACGACCGGTGCATTCCTGGTAGCATGAGCCCACAAAAGTCTTCAAGGCTTAATGAGGGAATGACAGGGGATGTCCCCCGTGTCAGATGGGAGACGGCGCTGGGACCCACCACGGAGTAAGCAGCCATATTGCTTCCGGTCTAAGGCATAAGCGGGAGCAGAACCTGAGGAAGAGGGACCCCCTCCAAGAAAGATAAGACGAATAGAGGCGGTGCATGTGGTATCCTCTTGAACTATAAAAGGAGGACCTTACCCGCCGAGCAAGGGGACGACTTTTGATAGCTTGAACTCTAGGGGAAGCACAGTTAGGTTTTCCCAGGAGCCCAAAATCTCTTGTAAGAACTTAAGCATAGTTCCACACATAGGAGTAGGGTATTACGCTTCCGAGCAGCCCGAACCTGTATAATCTTTGGTCTCACTCCTGATCACTCTCGACCTCTTGATCGCTCGTGCCCTATCCCCTGGCCGAACTCACAAAGGGGGATCTCACGTCCTCCCGCTAGATAGCTAGGGTTACTCCTCGACAATAGTCCTTTAGTATGTGTCATGAAATATAAGTATACATGAAATGATAACCGTGCAAATAAGTTGAGCTCTATCTATAATATCTATAAAATAGTTTTATTGGGAATATAATTAATTTGATATCACATATACTGTACCGAGTATCAAATATTGTAGGGTTCCATAAAAACCAATTTAAAAAGGATATGTTAAATTTAACTTGAGGATTGAAATTAGATAGAATTACCCTAGTCACGTAAAGGATGTTCCATCGGAATATTTAAAACATATCGTCAAGTCTCTCAGGACATAAAATTCAACTCGGCAAAATAATTTGCCACACAAATAAACGGAGGCAATGCTTTATTGCCTCTATAATGGTCCTAGTTGAATATTTAAATCAATATAAAAAAGTTATAGCAAGTCCCTGATTTCATTGGGATCAAATCTAAATTAAATTAAGGCAAATCATTTGTGGGAAGAAATCAATAATTCAAATTCAAGTGAAATATTTGAATTCCTAATAAAATTTTCAAATCCAAAATGTTTTCAATCCAAATTCCTAGTCTCAACTATCAATTTGCAGTCAAGTCCCTCCCTTTTCGCTCTATTATTTTCCTTCTATTCATCTCTCAGCCAGCACTGTTCATGGTCCACCAAGGCACCAACCCGTTCGATCTGGGTCTACCCAAGAACGAACTCTCTCCCCAGAGCAACCCAGCCGCGCCGATACTGTACATCTCCTAGCGTAGCGTCACCTCCAGAAAACCCGGCGATACGCACTTGCCCGCGCGAGCGTCCTGCTCCCGTCGCGCCAGGGTCGGCGCCGCGACCGTCCCTAACCCTAGCCGCGCCGCACCCATGTCGGACCCGCGTCGCACTGCACCATGCCGCTCCCGTGTGCCGCGTCGCGTCCACTCCGCCGCGATCCCGCTCCCCTGATTCTCTCCGGAGAATCGGCACCACGCCGTCCCGTCGCGCCGCGCGCGTTACCTCGATCGCCTCGTCACATCACCACAGTCGCGTCGCCATCACCCATAGCACATCGTACGGCCGCCACGTCGCGCCATCGTCACCATGCTACGCCGCGTTTGCTGGTTAGAACCGCGCATCCCTAACCCAAGAACCCTAACCACGCCCTACGCCGCGACGTCGCCCGTCACCCTCACCATGACCCCGGCGCCGTATGAGAATACCATCGCTCCGCGCCGCCTCCGTCGGATAATGACGCGCTCTCCGCACCAGTCTAACTTCTAGCCCAGCATCTAGCTCGACTGCCCATGTCCTAGCCAGTAACTTTTCTATATTTTTTTTAAAAGATCACATTGTTTATTATTTCGAGAATATTTTCTTCCCACTGTGCTTGTCTCAAACACAACCTAATACTCCCTCCGTATGCAGCAATGATTTTTCGTGTCCAATTTTAATTGTCTGTTTTATTTTTAAAAAAAATAAAAAATAAAAATATAAGTAGTCATGCATAAAGTACTATTTATATTTTATCATCCCATAACAATACAAATACTAATTATAAAAAATTTTAAATAAGACAAATAATTAAAGTTGGACACGAAAACTCATGAATACACTTAACGTGGGACAGAGGGAGTATTCTGCATCGTCTCACTCGGACAGAGATGGCGGAGAAGAACCATCAACTTACTATCACAGTATTGGATTTGGACCGGTCTAAAGAAGCGTATTTGTTTAATTTCTGTCTTGATTTCAAGATGCCATCGCGAGATGATATATCCGGAAGAGGTGCTATGAGCTCTTCGACCAAAAATTAAACCGAAACTACTGTTTCACGTGGCGCTGAAAATCTAAAGCGAGCAGCTGTTGTTTCGACAGAAAAACTTAATTTCGAAGGGTACTTTTGTATTGCCGGTACCAGGTTTAAGAGTGAGTAAGCTACTACAAATTATTCCCCGTCAGTATAATCGGTATAAAATTATAGCGGGAGCTAAACCAAAATGACCAAGAGCAACTAAGATAAATTTAGGGTTGGGTTACGATTTTTTAGGCCTTCTTAGCCTGTTGGGCCTTCTAACAACCTCAAACAAAGTCTACATTAGCCCCTCATCTATAAATATATGGACCCCCGCCCCCACACTGTCTCAGCCCTTGTGTGGAAGGGAGGAGAAAGAAGAGAGACAGAGCAGATATGTCGCGAGTGAAAGCGCAAGATAGAAGGGATTAGGTTTGGAACTATAGCTATAGTACTCTATACCTAGTACAAATAGCAAGTCTAAAATTAGGGTGCATTCTTTTTACGGAATTGCTAACCTTCAGTCGACATGAAACCCATCTCCAAATCTTGCAGATTTTGGGCCACCGGATGAGCTTCGTGATTCGTGCCCCAGGCCTTCTCCTCTAACTCCGGCGACCTCCTCATCTTCTCTGGCGCTGATGACACCCTAGACTCCGACAGAGAACTCTACGGATTAGGGTCCCGGGTTGGGGTGGTGATGGGAGGAGGAGAGGGAAGAGGGGGGAGTTCGCCGGCTTTAGAGGGATGGCCGTAGGAGGTGGCAACCCGGCGGTGGGCGGTGGCAGCATTATCAAAGCCGCGGGGTCGAAAGCTGGCAGTGCGCCGATGTAGATGCCAGGGGCAAAGCAGAAGGGCGTGTTAGGAGGAGGCGGCCGGTGTTGTAGCCCCGTTGCCGGAGACGGGGAAGACGGTGGCGCGCCGCCGTTGGCTTAAGGAAAGAAGAGGAGGAGAGGGAGGGGAAGGAGAAGGGGAGGAGGCTGGCTGGGAGGGGGGGCGGCCTCACCGGCACCGTTGGCACCTTTGGGCCAGCCGGCGTAGTGGGCGGCAGCGCGATGGCGGTGGGGGATCGGGCGGGGCGAGATGGAACCCGCGAGGGGAGTGGTAGTGGCGGAATGCACGAGCTTGAGAGGAAAGGGAGGAGAGAGTTAGGGTTGAGGTTTTGCACAAATCTTAAAAAGCATATCTAACGGTCCAAAATTTGAAAGATGGAAGGTGGGATTTTCTATCAACATATATGTAGACAGTCACTTCTTTTTAAATTATGGGTTTAGGTGATTAGCTGCACACAAAAGTATGAAACAAGAAACGTGATTAGCTTATAGTTAATTAAGCATTAATTATTAAAAATTTAAAAAATGAACTCATTTTTTAAATCATCCTCTATATATATGAAGTTTTTTACGGAACACACCATTTATCAATTTGAAAAACATGCTAAAAAAAACGAGAAGTAGCTATAAGCTTAATTAGCTATTTAAAACGCATCCTAGATTCTCAACGCAGCTTACAAGCCAAGAAGCAGCAAATGAATTGTTGGAAGAAAAGAAAACTGATGGTGTTCAGGAGGCACGACGACTTCCACAAACCATGAAATAGTTTCCACATATATAGTTAACATTTAAACTCTCTAGTCTCTAGACAGAGAACATACTACGAAATGTGAAGAGTGCAATTGGAGCTTGTTAATTCGACCACGATTAACACGAGTTGCCATCTGAAGCTTGCAAGAGCACAAGCTTGTCCGTTGGCGGCCAAAATGTCCTGGGTTGCTGATGAAGGACGAACTTAGCTAGCAACAAAATAGAGGCTCAACATAAGGCTGAACTCAACCTCTGCGCTCCATTTTGTCTTTCTTCATGGCCTCCTCGGCATCCCTGCAAGGAGAAAAAAAAAAGCATTGTACTACAGAAACAGAAAAATCTCTACATGGGTCCCCCTTCCCACTTATAGCACGAAGCACAGGAATCATTCAAATGGCATGCAAGAAATTTTCCCGAAACGGTAACTAGGCACGCATGCACAAAGGCACCAGGGAGATCACAAGATGCTCCTTTCCTGAGAAGCAAAAAAGGCTTGCATACTAACCCGATTCCACATTTATAATATACATTCTTTTCTACTGAATCTATAATATAGTGGGCTCTTCACAGGATGAAGATCCAGAATAATTACCTTAAAGCTTTCTTTATATCTTCATTTGCAGGGTCCAACTTCAAGCCATCTGCAAAAGCTTCACAAGCTTTTCCATAGTCCTATACACAAAAGAACAGATCAATTTTTTGACAAATAAAATCGAATTTTAAAAAAAATGCTCTTTTAGTCTTTTTTACCTTTATAAACATGAAAGCTGCCCCTTGTCGATAGCATGCTTTGGGCCAACTGGGCCGCAACATTCTGCACATGTTAGCATCAGCAATAGCCCCAATGCCGGTTGACAAACGCAACCAGCATAGGCTCCTGTTTGCTAGCAGGGTTGCCTTATCATGAGCACTTGTGCTAAGTTCTATTGCCTACAGTAAAAGTACATGCAACTTTTAGCAATACATAAAATGGAATGTATTGTTTGTCTATATTACTCACCTCAACTGTAGGTCTGTAGCTATTATCATGTCTTGTTAATTAGGTAATCCAACAATGCTAGAGGTAGGGATGAAAACGGAGCGGATAGTTTCCGCCCGCTTCGGAGAAAAACGAATACGGATACCTTTCGTATCAGATAATTCTTAGATAGTTCAGATACGGATACGGATATTTTCTCCGTCGGATACGGATAATAATTCGGATATCCACATAAGTTATGAGACATACCCCCATTTTTTTATAACTCTATGACCTTCAATAGACATTTTTAGATTTTAATTGTAGTTCATCTCTTATCACTAGTCCACACTATTAATACTATTTAAATTTTTAAAAATATTTATAAATCATACTACATTTTATATAAAATGAGCTAATTATATATGTTGATATTTGTTTCTATTAGAAGTTGAGTTGGTTTTCGTGTTATGAGAAAAATTTGTTTCCGTATTCGTGTCCGATCATATTCGATTATTACTCGTATTAGAGATAATCTATATTTGTTTCCATATTCGAGCTGTCTGTATTTGTTTCCGTGTCCGGCAAAAAATATGAAAACGAACATGGTATGAGCATTATCCGCTCCGTTTTCATTCCTAGTTAGAGGTAGTATACTGGTAGTATTGAAACAACTTTTTTAAGGGTGAACAGAGAGCTACAATGTTGACATGAATTGTCTCCAAAAAAACAACACATTTAGGCACTAAAGATGTGTTGCAATGTCTTACGTTAGTGTAGTGTTGTACTGCAAGCGCATAATCATTTCTCTCGAAAGCCTCTCTAGCTTGTAATTTCAGTTCAGCACTTTTCCTTTTAGACAGATCATTATCCTGAGAACAAAGGATTATCAGTAAGAACATGCATGTATAACTAATACCAATATGAAGCTGCATCTATGAAACGATTGGTTAACAAATATCACAGTCAATGATTCACATATCTTGCATAACCTGTAAAATATCCAGTTTGATATTCCAGTACTACTGCTTTGAAATCAGTTACTCAACTACGAACTAGTAAATATCTGTGCACAGCGCATAACAAAATAACACATGGAAAGAACTCTCTAGCTTTCTATAAAAGCTGGGCCACTCAGGCCTTTTATCCAAAAAAAACACATGAAAATAAATGTTCCATATTACTCTAAAATTGCTTTAACTGTTCACATTCAGTACAACAACAAATATATACTGTTGTGTTGTGCTCATCAGCCTCATCATAACCATAACCGGCCACGTCAAATGAAGAAAAATACATAAGGAATTACCATAATAACTCTCAGGGGAAACAGAAGGGAAGAAAAATACATGAGAAGCTAAGTTTGCATTTGAGGTGGTATGTTACTAATATCCATGTTTGTGATGGCACTAGCCTGATTTTCCAAAATAATTGATGGGGAAATGGACGAAAAAGATAACAAAGCTAAAAGAGTTCAACAATAATACAAGGAAACAGAAGGTGGCAAATGAATTGGCAAGCTCATCAAAACTAACTGAGAACTATAAATACTATCTATGCCCTAGATGTGCTTGAAGTGAAGAAAATGTTTTTTTTTTCTACATATAAAAACAGTTAGTGAGGTAAAAATACTAAACTATCAAGTAGCAATCCAAATCAGCATGATTGACCTACGTACCAGAACATGCATCCAAGACAACATAAATTTTACTGATTAGGTGCCAATCTTCATGAATTCAATGATAAATAGTGAGCAATTACCTAATACTAGATACCCACATATCTTTTTAAATAACTAACTGAATGCCCATGCTTTGGTATCGATAGAAGAAATAATATTGTCTGAAATTAATAAAAATATATTTTCCTAGAAATGAGTTACCCATCCTCGTTTTGCCATAGGGAACATTCATCTCAATATTAAGAAGTCCAAGGGCTAATTTGCAAAATTTACAATGAGTAGGTGCCTTGGCGGGCTGGCAGATTCACTACCACCACCCCTGCCTTCTTTGTATAGATATAGATATTGTCTGAAACTAATAAAAATATATTTTCCATGAAATATGTTGCCCATCCTCGTTTTGCTATACGGAACATTCACCTCAATATTAGGAAGTTCAATGGGTAATTTGCAAAATTTACAATGAGAGTAGGTGGGGTTGCAGATTTACTGCCACCGCCACGGCCTTCTTTTAAAGTAGTATAGATATAGATACTACATATGCATACTTATTTTTGGATAATACGATATACTCATAGATGATTATTCAGTTCACCAGATATGCCTAAGAACTAATAAAGTTTAATTGACAGGATATCATGAGAAAAAAAATCGAATATCAAAAGAGGAATACTATATTCCAAAAGGAAAAAAGTCGACATTTGGACCCTCAACTATGGCCTCGGTCCAATTTCCATCTATGAACCATGAAACTGTCCACAATTGGTCCCTCAACTCTCAAAATCATTCACACTATTTCCCTGAGCCTAGTAAGGTGGGGTAGTAAGGGAAACTAATAATGATGATAAACAATGATATGCAATTGCAAGTGGGCAGATAAAGGAACAAATACCCTTGGCTTCAAACCAAAATTTTCCACGTGAGAAATAATTCCATCGATACTCCAATCTGACAGTGTTGAAATTGGTGAGGTTAAAGGAAACAACATTTCAACAATGTCCCTTCTGCCATGATTAGCGGCAACTTCAATTGGAGTCGTATTGAACTGCAGGAGTAAAAGAACTGGTTGATTTCATAATAATTCACCACCAATGCAAATATCACAGATATTGCAAATAATTTTAACAACTTCAGCACTAACAACTAGGATCCCATGTTAGAAACATAAGGCTGTAAAATTGTCTGAGCTAAGATTGTAAAATAAACATCAGGTTAAATAATATAGTAAGGATAACCCAAGGTTCACAAAAACAAGTTTTTATATCATGATTTGTCAAAACAGGATAGGATGAAGGTTCAAAGGGTACAACCCAGGACATTAGTTTGTCCAATGATCACTTACTGGGGCACTAAATATTTTCCCACTCGTAGATTGGTAAACCTTAGTATTTTCTCATCATCCCTATATCAAGCAGCATCAAACAGTAATGAAAATCAAACCATATATCCACCCTTTGGAGTGGAATGTGAGCAATTTCCTTTGAGATGACATTTCAACAATTGCATTCCTTTAGAGCAGCATAGAAGCACTGCCTTCTTCTCATGCAGACTTATCCATTGGTACAGTTGATAAAAAGAATAAGTGAGTAGATTATCCTAATCTCTCAAGACCATACAGCCTGTCGCAACAACATCCAGTCACAGGCTATAGAGGAAAGAATATTACTCACTTCATCTGGAATGTTTGGATTAGCACCAGCATCTAGTAAGCACTTCATGATGACAGAAGAGCCATGATTTGCTGCAACCATTACACAAGTAACGCCATTGGAGTCTCTAAAATTCATGTCAGCACCAACCTGTATAAATGAATTGTTATTTGAACATCAGTGATTGTGTCTCAGTTGTCATCCACAGAGAAACGAAAAAGAAAATAAACCAAGGTGCTACTACAATTACAAATATGAATATAGACATCAAGAAAAAGGTAACCGACTTTGATTAATAGCTTCACGCATTCCAATGATCCAGAAACTATGGACATAATCAACGGGGTACCATCAAGATTGAAAACCCTGTTAGGCTGTCAAAAGTAGAATAATCAAGATCTTGCAGTTTAAAAAAAAAAGGAGCAAAAGAAAATTAATATCAGTACTCGTACATTGAGTGCATGTTGGTATTTTCAGGCAGGGACAAACTGAGATGCTTATACAGGAAATAAATTGCATTTATAGCACTCCTGAGGAAGTGAGGATGTTGCACTTTGAGAGAAACAATTATAATCCAACATTAATTGTATGCATTGCTCCAGACCAACAGCTTATTCAGCTAGAATTTGCCAAAGTAGATTTCTCCTATGCTCCTCAGTATTGCAATACTGCTCATGAACTAGCTCAAAATGGAGCCACCCAGATCAGTCTGTTGTTTGGACTGATCCCCTCCCGGAGTCTGTAAATCGCCTGGTGGCTTGTGATTACACTGAGCCAATCGAGTAATAAAGAGGCATGTTTGACAATAAGAAAACAACTTTGACTCTAGATGGGGCACAAGTGTTGGAGGACATTTTTTTCATTTTTTTTTTCATTCTAATGTGTCATAGTCCAAATCAGTGATACTATCCTTAAAAGTTTAATAAGTCAGGCATTTCTTTTTGAAACTGATAGGTCAGGTGTTTCTTTTGCACAGATGAGGGAGCAACAAAGAAACTGATGTCTTACATCAGCATGATGCTCCAATAAGATCTTCATCGTGCTATGTTGGCCACTAATCGCAGCTGCCAGCAATGGGGTCCCAGCGATAGAATATAAATCCACATCAACTCCTTTTGAAAGAAACAACTCTACTATTTCGCAGTGTCCTGCAAAAGAATAATTTATACATTACTAACAAGAACAAACTAGAAAACAATGTTTATCATAGGTATAGAGGTCTTCATTGGTAGATATATGTTGAAAATGGACTTGGAACAAGGTTCAGCTCAATCAGGAACAGCCTAGAAACAATTATTAATAGTGATTCGGAACAGTTATGTTTTCAAAAGGAGTCTGTTGGATAACAGTAAAAATTGGATTTTAAGTTTTCATAATTTTATTATCTAAAAAGCTTAGCTTGAACAAAATTCAACATATTAACAGCAAATATGCTTATAATCAGGACAACAATAACGAAGTATAGGAACTAAAGTTGTTGTCCAGAAACATGTAGTTGTTTCTTTTTCATCCAAATCATCAATCAAATGAGAATCAGAGCCATGCAAACACCCAAGAGAGAAGCATCATTCAAGACTGTGTCATTGTCAGAATTCTATATTCGTCAACAATTTTAAGTACTCCCTCCATCCCAAAATAAGTTAACCTAGTACGGGATGTGTGCCTGTCCAGATTCATAGTACTAGGATATGTCATATCCCGTACTAAATTAACTTATTTTGGGACGGAGAGAGTAACAAACTACAAAACAAACTTACTAGTGACAAAATACTGATGCAAGGACTTAGTCTCTACGTGCAATTTGCCATTTAGTTGAATAGTTGTGAGAACTTGTTGCGAAGTTTTTCACGAAATAACAAAAATCCAGAGTCATGACTATAATATAGTGACCAGTAAATATGTATCACAAGGAGTGCCTCTCCCGAAACAACCTTGCACACAAGGGAAAATTTTATCTGGTTTCATCTGGCTACTGGCCCTGTGTTTATCCATTAAGTTTTAAGTACAAACAATAGTTCAAATATTGACAGAAATATTAGAAGAAAATAAAGGTGAATCTAAGTGAAGAAAGAATTCACTTGCATATGTATCAAATATATTGTTCAAAAATATATGTTGGACTCTGTGTTTGCGGTGTGTGAGAAAGAGACAGAGAGACCTTTCACTGCAGCACCATGAAGAGGTAACACTATTTTATCAATCGCAGGATTGGAACCATGATCGAGAAGATATCTTGTAGCAGCAGCTCTCCCATGAATTGAAGACAGGAACAGTGGTGTTTGACCTGCCAAGAAAAACATGACATGACATAAGGACCATAGGGAACCCGTATGGTCATATTGATCGAGCCTTCAACAATACAAACTACAAAGGCTACTGATGCATAATGTAAAATGGTATTGTTTAAAAAAAAAAACTACTTTACCACCTAGAGGTATGGGGGCTCGTCTACTTACAGGCTGTTTAGTTACAGGTATGAGGAATCAACACATCTAGGACGGGTGATCCATCATGTGACCATCCCACAAAATTTGAAGAATGACTCCATTCATCCGATAGCTTATCATGTGCCTTTTGAGGATTGAGGTGGTGATGGATAAACTCATTCCATTCCCCAAACCAAATAACATCATCAAGGATCAAGTGGTGAATTCATCATCCCACTTCAAAAACCAAACAGTTCCTTCACACATTATCCCTTGAAGTATAAAATTTGGTACCATGTCCCCTATAGGTATTGAAAGCCATCTAAAAAACCCCTGAGATGCCAACATACCAAATGACATGGAGTAGTGGACAACAATGCAGTGATGGTCTGCATCCTAAAAATATTTTATCTGGTGAGTCCTCTTGTCAGAGGGTGAATTATCTTTTGTTTTCAAAGTTCAATTTAAGTACTTGAATGAAACATTGTTTCAAGAAGTGGGGCATTTTACTACAGATTTTATATTCATCTGCTAAGTCATCATCACATCACTACCCACTAGTCATATTGTTTACCATGGCGAAACCACCTCAGGGTGTTATTTGTACATTTTTAAATACTTCAGGGCACATGATATGTACCTTTTTTTTCTTCAGGGGGTTAAGTAGACTCCTTGTTAAAAAGATAAAATGTGCAACTGGACTGGCTAGTGCTAATGTAGTACCAGTGACTCCTTGTGATAAATGATTACCGTGAAAAGTATGGGAAGCAAGGAAAATAGGAAATTAGAATGCACAATTACTGCTCAGAATACTTCCAAGTCCAAGGAACACATTCCAATTCCATTGACAAGGTTGTTGTCTGCCATCAGGGATTGGAATTGACAATTCAAGTCCAAATCTCAGAGAAGGTATATATAAACAGGAAACCAGTTATCTGCGGTGTTACACAATCACGAACACCCTCACACAGTCAAACCCAACCCATGTCAACTCTCTAGCCTCTCACGCTGTCACGCATCTCCACCACGGTACCACCACTTCTGCAACTGCTGTCTGTGCAAGACATGGCCTCCCCAGTCACCCTACTTCTCAAACACATTACAGCTCTTCTCCTACCATTGCTCCTCCATGCCAGCTTCTGGTCCACAAAGTGGTGACCTCCAGCACCCACATTGACAAGACTCTCCGCGTTGCTTAATTACGTGATATGTTTTGGGTTCTCGTTCTGTGTGATGATTGTGTGGTTGAATGGGGTGAGGGGTTGAGCAATTTGTTTCATTTTTGGTTAATTTGTTAATTGCTATGACAAGTTTTTTCCACGAGATAGTTCAGTAGGGACTGTCCTATTAAATAATCTTTCTTAATAATAAATTGAAGCCACCGAATTTGGAGTTTGATATCAATCTAAATTGTGGTTTTTCAATGTACACAAAAGAGGGGATGTTCAATGCTTGCACGAGGACTATTCAAAGCATGAATTATTGTATCATTCTTGAGAAAAAGAATACTCAATGCATCTTGATTCGTATAAGAGCGAGCTGAAAAATAGAACGGAAGAGAGGCAAGGCAAAGAGCGCAAGACCTTTGCCATTGAACTGGTTGACGCCGAGGCAGAGGTCCTCCACGAGGTACCTGAGGACGTCCACGCTCCCTCCAGAGGCCGCCATGTGCAGAGCGCGGTGCCCGAAGCCGCTGCCCTCCACCGCCGCCACGACAGCCGCCTCGCCCTGCCCGGTGTCCAGCCCTCGCGCCATCTCTATATCAACGGGTGAGCATCGATCGGAGAAGCACAATCAGCATTTAAACTCAGGCCTCGTTCGGCACCAAGGGATAATTATACCCAGGTAAAACGGTCACCGGAGGGGATTGGGTTCATCCCCTCCCACCACCCAATCCCCCACCCAATCCCTTTCACCACGGGATTATCATTTGGTTTGTTTGGACAGGTAAGGGATTGGTGGGATTGATTTATTTGGACTAAGGTTTAAAGATTTCATTACATAAATTTTAAATTGTCACCAACAAAATTGCAGAAAATTCAAAACACCACCCAAAAAAATCTAAAAATGAGAAAAAATGAGAAAAAAAAACAAAAAAGGGAAAATAACGAAGACTGGCTGTACAATTTATGTCGTGATTATTACAAAGTCTAGAAAAAAATGTCAATTCATATTAGAATATTAGTGCACACTAAGATTATAGATTCACACATGTAGATCTCTATTACAGTAATAAGTAGCAGGGATTAAATTACATAAATTGAAGCTAAATCATTAATATCTACTTGTAAAGTTCCTCAATTAACAGAACAGCATATTTCTCAGGTACATCACAATAACATTCTTGGTGCAGCAAACAGAAGTCCCTGAAAAAACATATGAGACGGATTATCACTTGAAAGAAAACTGCACAATTCAAAGGCCGAAAAATAGCTGATCAATATGCCCCTATATGGTCAACAGCCACATATTTCCAATAACGAGAAAGTTTTAGGTTATTTAGTTCCAGAGGTTCAATAAGTTCCATGAATAATTCAGGTTTCACTGTGAACATTTCCAATTACCTGCAAAAGGGAAAGAATACATCATCCTCACTATACAGATCAGTCTATGGTATACACATGTTGATGTATTATGTACAAAAAAGAAGAATATTGTGTCACAACAACAACATATAATAGCTACTCCTATAACCAATAGTTGCTAAACCACATGTTTAAGCCCCATTGAAATAGCTTAACTAGCAGCAGTCAACAGAAGCTACAGGTTAATAAAAACTACGTCCAATAGACAATTCATATATCGAAAACATCAACTGCATGACAGGCACCTAAAAAGTGTCTAATTACGGGAATAACATCAACTGCATGATTTCTCTATTTATACACTTCTAAAGATCTGGTGTTGGTCTATGAATTAATCAAAAAAAGCACATTGAAAGGAAAAATGGCACAATCTACAGTTGTACTCTTCATCAAAGTAAAAAAAATCAGTTTCAGAGAACTGAAACTCCCAAACCTGCACATGATCTGAGACTGAATTTTCTAGCTAAATTTCAGCAACCTGAACCATAATTTCAGAATTTTAGAATTCAGAATTGAGCTCAATTTCAGCAGGTCCCCAACATATACACTGCACTAATGCAGTCAGTGGGTAAGAAACACAAGCACATTCAGAGTGTATAGATGGAATTGATGTTCCTACTCTTGTTTGTTTTTAAAACCAAAAGAATTGCATATTCCTGGGAAGCTGTTAAGAGGGAGATGTGATATTCCTTTGATCCATTTCCACAGTGAAGGACGCATTTCACAAGGGGCATCCTAAATTCCTAAAAATGATGGCATCCTTTACAGAATTACAGGGTCATGGGAATCAATAATCATCTTCATCTTTCGTGGAACACGTGTTGTATTAACAAATCCAATGGCCAAAGCAGTTGATAGACACTCAAACTACCAGAATTAAAGGGAAAAAAACAAAACAGAAACAAAATCAGAACAATACCAGATTCTATGCTAACTGACTAGAATATACTTGCTGTCCTATTTCAGCTAATGACTCTGAACAAACACATGTCATTCTCTATTACAAATGCATATATGCCATTCTCTAGAACTAATGCAGAGCAAATCTGAGCACCCAGGGACAGTAGTAAAACTTAAAACTTAGTACTACCTCTGTCCCAAATTAGTGGTCATTTTGGCTCTTTTCTTGCAATGTTTGACCATTTGTCTTATTTGAAAAATTAGTGCAAATATAAAAACGGATAAGTCATACGTAAAGTATTTTTGATAATAAAGCAAGTTACAAACAAAATAAATAATAATTCTATAATTTTTTGAATAAGACGAATGATCAAAAGTTACAAACAAAAACTCAAAGCGACAAGTATTTTGGGACAGAGGTAGTACTATATAAATCTGAGCACTGTTTAACAGAACATTATCGAAACTCAAGAACAATTAATTTAGGCAGGACATAAACAATAGAAACTCTAGGCAGAACATACCTCACAAAAGCACCCAATCTCATGTATATCAACCCTGTCAATACAAGAAAACCAGTTAAGACAACACGCTCTGAAAATTCGTGTGAGCTACTTACTACACTGCAGGGCTTGCATTGAAAGCTGAAGATAGCAATGTTAGCTAGCTTTTAAGCTAATTAATTAGCCAAAACTAGCCTAATTAACAGTGTGAAATTAGAAGGGTAGGTTTGTTTAGTGTTTTGCCAGGTATAAAGGCTTCAGGTTGGGTTAAATTATGCTGCTTGTTGGGGGGATTAACACTTAACAGCCGCAACTTTAGACCTTAGACACGCCACAAATGTATCTTGAAGCTAATCTCTACTACTTAAAAAATAATCCGTAGTGGTGATGGTGAAGCCAACGTAGACGTGTGACCTATCAACCGTGGGATCAGAGATCGGACGCTTCTCCGGATCCGCAGTAGACGAGAAAAATGGCGCCCCCCAATCGCCCCGTCGTTGTGCCCCTCCTCTCTCTCTCTCTCTCTCGCACACCCCCACCCCGCCGCCGCCTCCGCCTCCGTACCCCTACGCCGTGCCATCGCGCCTCCACCACTCGTCGCGCCCTCCACACGCCGCCGCATCAGCGCACGCGTCTTCCCCCTCTCTCGGTCGCTCCCTCCGCATCTCCCCTCCTCAACCCCTCGATCCACGTCGCCGCAGCCCCCTCCCTCGGTCGCTCCCTCCGCTTTCCTCCCCCGCATCGCTCGCGCTCGCTATCCAACCGCCGACGCCACTCCTCCCACCTCTTCGCCGCGCCCCGCCACGCCTCCACCGCCGGCGCCCCCATCGCCACGCTGCGCTACTCCGCGGTGCTCGGGATTGAGGCCGCCGTGCTCGTTGGCACAGCTCGGGACTCCACCTCGTCGCCGATCCCGCCCTCTTCCACTGGAGCTCCCTCGCTAGCCCGATGCAACTACATAAATGCAAATAAATGCAAGCTGCAGGTAATACGCTAATGCTCCCCATGCCCAAAAGGTGTTCGACAAAATGCTTGCTTAGACGTTACAGTTGTGATGTTCAGGGAAATCACTTAGGTTTTAATCCTCGCTGAGCCATATCATATATGAACTACGCCTGCCGCCGCTGCTCCGTCTCCGCCCTTCGTGCCGCTCGGGAGGAGTTGCGACGGGGTCGAGCCCCTCATCGCCGACTACCCTTCTCCGCTCGCAGCCACCGTCGTAGCGTTTAAGTCTCTGCATATGCTGAATCTGAAAGTACCAGCCTGCTCTTTTCTGCTCGTTGGGGATCAATAGGAAATGAATTTCAGACCGATACTAGCCTGCTGTTATAAGTCTCTGCATATGCTGAATCTGAAAGTACCACTTATAGTCATTATAGAACCAAACAGGTTGGAGCTTGCATGCTCAGTTGCGAACAGATGTATTTAGGTGCCAGTCTCTTCGGTTTGCCCATGGCTGCGATGCACAATAGCAGTTGCGAACAGAGTTTTCCTTCCTCGTATACCTCTATGTCCGTCTGATGATGATATGTTCCCGTTTCGCTTCAAGAGGAAGCAATTTCCGGTTAGATTGAGCTTTGCATTGACCATCAATAAGGCGCAGAGTCAAACAATTCCAAATGCAGGCGTCTACTTACCGGAGCCTGTCTTCTCTCATGGTCAATTATACGTCGCGTTGTCTAGAGCAACCTCTAGAACAAACATAAAAATACTATCGATGCCGGTAGAAGACAAGAAACAAAAGAAAAAGTCTAAGTGTACTGGCGTGAAGGACAATGAGAAGAAAGGAAAGGAATTGTCTAAACAGGCTGCAACATACACAAAAAATATTGTGTATAGAGAGGTCCTCACAGATTAGAAAAGGTATATTATGCGACTAATTAACCATCCACAATATGCTTGCTTAAATTCCATTCTTTCTGTAATTTTTATATTCCAAGTCAAACATTTCGTGTGTTTTTTTTCTTGGACAGTAGTAAACATTACTTTCGGTGGGATTTTGGCAAGGCCTATATACACCATTACAGGTATTGTGATCAACTGCAGGTTTTTTATGTGCTACTTATACTAGGAAATGAAAAATCGAAGATTTTTGCATTGTCGTTGTGTCCTACAACTCTACGAGTTTGGATGCAGGATGCTAGCGGACAAGTTATCCAGTGCCTGAACTCTGCTTTATCTAACCTGGTGGCTGACATTGACAACAAATCTATTTACAACACTCTATTATTAGTCTATTACCTGACTCTGGAAAACAACCATCAACTGCAAAACCATTTGATTCACATCCCTTCACCTGATCCCACCTGGTTTCTTGCTTAGGTAGCTTCATGGTAAGGTCAATATGGAGCTGATGATACTTCTATATGGTTCTTTTTTCTTCTTCTTTAATTTTTTTACCTAACAAAAGTACTGAAGCATAGTTCTTAGGTCTGATGATTTATTTAGCTGAATGCTGATTGTTTTCTCTTAAACCTTTCCACGCAGACTATGACAAAGGAAATTTGGATGCAGGCATGTCACAAACTGATTTCATCATTATGGAATCTGCAGAAATTCCAGGCTTTGGTGGTACTAGCTGGACTGACCAGGAGACCTTGCTTCTTTTGGAAGCTTTAGTAATTTTGCAAGCAAAATGGGGTGACATTGCAGAGCATGTTGATACAAAAACCAAAGCACAATGCATGCTGCACTGAGCAAGAGCGTTCTATTTGTTCAGTAAAATTTGTCGGTCCATTTGGTTGTGACGGAGCGTGGGGCTCCTCACCGGGAGACCGCGCAGGCCCCCCTTTGCCGGTTCGGCCGGGGACCCTAGGTGAGACTCTAAGCTCCCAATCTGTATGTGGAAGGTTCGCCAGACAGGAAGCACAGAAGACGCCGGCGATGTATACAGGTTCGGGCCGCTTAGAAGCGTAATACCCTACTCCTGTGTTTTGGTGGATTCGTGTGTGAAGGAGCTACAAAGTATGAGCCAGCCTCTCCCTTATTCTGGGTTCCTAATCTGGAAAAGTCCAAAAAAAAAACCTCCCTTCTCTCAGTGGGCAAGGTCCTCCTTTTATATCTTAAGGGGATACCACATGCACCATCCCCCCTCTCTGTGGGGACTTACCCTACCTTTTCATAAATGGACGGAGATTTGCATGGTTGCCGTTCGAGTCACCTTCTGATGGGACGGCCCGCACATACCTCCACTTTCGCCGGGAGCAGGCGCGACGCGGAATCATGGCTGTCTGCTGACGACATGACCGGTGTCAGACTGGTCACAAATCGGTCATTCTTGTCCACCACGCGTCAGCTTAGCAATCTGCACGTTGGCCCTTCTTCACACAATATTTTGCCTGTAATGGTTAGGATGAAGCCTGGCATATATCTGACCAGGACTAACGTGCCATCTCTGGGAGGTAACACGCTAGCTCCAGCTGGGGACGAGTGCCTAGAAGCCCTCGTCCTGACGGGATGGGGCGAGGCGTGCGTCAGATCGCCTGTCGCCACCTAACTCGCGATCTGACCGGTCTGTGATTGGTCACAGACCGGATAAATGAGTACACTGCACCGCGTTACATGCGGCGTGACACGCTCAGCCAAACCGCAATAAATGTGGTTAGGTGAGCCCCACTGTGCCCACCTAACCCATACACGCGGAGCGAAAACCCACGAGGGGTCGGGGCGCCTCGACCCTCGGGGCCGAGGCGGGTGCGGCTCGACCCCCTCGGGGGGGCTAAGAGGAGGGCGAACACATCACCCTCGGGCCCGACGTCCCCCGAGGGTGCCAGGCCACGTGGGCGATTGTGTCTGCCTCAAACCTCTAGTCATGATACTCCCGATCCCATGTCACCGACAGTAGCCCCCGGCGTTATGCCAGGGCGATCGCCCTCCTTAAGGGAAGCGGTCGGGCGTGACGCCACTCCTAAGGCCTGGTGACAGGTGGGACCGGTCTCCACAATTGGGCAGAAACCCAACGGTCAAAAATCACGCACATCGGCAATGGTAACTCGGTTGTCAATAATGAGCGGTCTCTTCAAGACTGCCACATTACTCGAGTAGCACACGAATCTGGACATGGCGATTCGTTTCATCTGGAGATATGGTAACGTCGCTTCGGTCGGCGAGCGTAATTAACGCGCGCACGATATGATCTATCTCGACCGCCACAACCGCATATCCACCTCATGCACCGCAAGCGGGCGAATGGGATTAGTGGAAGCGTGGGCGCGAGAAACGAGGGGGCGAAATAGTGGGCGCGAGAAGCGAGGAGCCGGGCACAGCGTTGGCAAGAGTATAAAGGCACTGAGGAAGGGATTTGTTTCCTTCCTTTCGCCATTATTCCCCTTGTCTTCGCCGCTTGCGCCCTAACTCCTTCTTTCCTGTGCCCTACCTTCGCCACACGCGCTCGCTCTTAATCTTCTCTTCCTTCCGGCGCCATGGCACGGGGCTCCGCTCTGCTCGATGGTAGCGTGCTGCCGCCCTCCCGCATCGTGAGCGAGAGGCAGGCTGGGCTGCCGCGCCGCTTCATGCCGGAATCTGCCACCGGCCGGGAGATAGTCACGCTGGGCGAGGGACGCCCGGCGCCAGACTACCCGGGGCGGTCCGTCTTCTTTCTCCCTTTTGCAATGGCAGGGCTGGTTCCGCCATTTTCTTCTTTCTTCATGGATGTTCTGGAGTTCTACGATCTCCAGATGGCGCACCTCACCCCCAACGCGGTGATGACATTGGCCATCTTCGCGCATCTGTGCGAGATGTTCATTGGGGTGCGCCCATCTCTTCGGCTGTTCCGGTGGTTCTTCACCGTGCAGTCGGTGTCGCCGCCATCGGTAGTTGGTGGCTGCTACTTCCAGCCACGGGGGCCGGTGCCGAACCGCTACATCCCCTGCGCCCTCCGCAAGAAGTGGGACGACTGGAAGAGCGACTGGTTCTACACCCCCCTTGCCGACGAAGTGCGCCTCCGACTTCCGAGCCAGCCCCCGGCTCAGGCCTCCAGCTGGCGGGCGCCGGTAGATCTGGGGGATAGCTATGACGCCGTCCTCGACCGCCTGGCGGGCCTGCGATCCCAGGGGCTCACAGGGGCCATGGTGTACGGCGACTACCTCCGTCGTCGGATTGCGCCGCTCCAGCGGCGCGCTCGGGGCGCCTGGGAGTACACCGGGTCCGAAGACTTCATGAGGACTCACCAGGGAGTGAGATGGGACTGGGCTCCTGAGGACTTCAAGATATTGGTCCAACGGGTGCTGAATCTCAACTCCGTGGAGGCGGCCCTCATTCCCCAAGGAATCCTCCCCCTCTGCAGCGATCCAGACCGCGCCTCCATCCTGACCATTATGATGGCGGTCGGGGCCTCAGAGGAGCGAGCTCCAAAGGGCCACGACGGCGCAGGCGGGAGCCGCCGGGGGGAACAATCTACCCCGAGAGGGGGTCGTGCTTCTGGGTCCCGCGACAGGGGCCCGGGGAGCAGCCGCCCTGCCGACGCCCGGGGGAAGAGGAAGCAGGGAGGAACACCTCCCCCATCTCCCCGAGGGGGCGGGGCGGCGCGTGCCAGCAGCAGGCGCCCGGAGGGGGCCGCGCCAACATCGCAGCCCGAGGGGGAGCGCAAGAAGAAGCGGCCCCGCAAGATGGGGGAGACAGAACCATCTCGGGGAAACCTCATTTCCCCCCCCCTAAAGTGGTCGTTTAACCGACCCCCTCGCAGGTTCGTCTCTCACCCATCGTGGTTGTATTCATTCTCTCAACGCGAGTTTTCACTCACCCATCTCGTTCGTCTTCTGGTCTTTTCTTTTGTTTCAGCGAGATCCCGTCGCGTCCCTCCCGCCATTCCAAGTCCGGCCAGCCTGAGGCCGAGGATCCGGCGGCCGCAGAGGCCCGGAGGCGGGAATCTGACCGGCGAGAGGCCGCGGATCGCCTACGGGAAGCCGAGGAGGCCGTCTAGGAGGCCGCCCGGGCTCGCCAGGCCGAGGAAACCGCTCGGGAGGGAGCCGCCCGGGCCCGCCAGGCCGAGGAAGCTGCTCGGGAGGAGGCCGCCCGAGCCCACCAGGCCGAGGAAGCCGCTCGGGAGGAGGCTGTCCGAGCCCACAAGGCCGAGGAAGCCGCTCGGGAGGAAGCCGGATTTCGCTAGGACGAGGCGATGGCGACTTCCGAGGCAGCTCGCGACGAGGCCGCGGGCGCGTCGCTCGGGCCCACTCCCTCGGGCGACGCTCAGGCGACAACTTCCGGGGTAGCTGGCGACGAGGCTGCGGGCGCGTCACTTGGGCCCACTCCCTCGGGCGACGCTCAGGCCCAACCAGGTCCGGAGGACATCCCCGCGTTTGGCACGTCCATCGGCGGGCCGAGCCGCGTGGCATCTTCTCCGAGGCGGCTTTTCCCCACGCCTTCTGCTGCCCTACTGAGCGCAGAGCCCCTTCTGCAAGCCTTGGCCGCCGCAAACACCACGGTGTTGGACGGGTTAAGTGCCCAGGTGGAGGCCCTGCAGGCAGAGCGGGCGGAGCTCGATGCCGCTTGGGCGCGTGTCGAAGAGGGGCGACGCTCGGTGGAGGCCATGGTGGAGGTGGGCTGTAAGGCTCACCGCCGGCACATCTCGGAGCTTGAAACCCGTAAGAAGGTGCTAGCGGAGATCGCCAAGGAAGTGGAGGAGGAGCGGGGGGCTGCCCTCATTGCCACCACCGTGATGAACGAGGCGCAGGACACCCTCCGCCTTCAATACGGGAGCTGGGAGGCGGAGCTAGGGAAGAAGCTCGACGCCGCCCAGGGGGTGCTTGACGCTGCCGCTGCCCGAGAACAGCGGGCGGCGGAGACCGAAGCGGCGTCCCGGCGGCGCGAAGAGGCCCTTGAGGCGCGCGCCATGGCGCTGGAAGAGCGCGCCTGCGTCGTGGAGAGGGATCTGGCGGACCGCGAGGCCGCCGTCACCATCCGGGAAGCAACGCTGGCGGCGCACGAGGCTGCCTGCGCCGAAGAAGAGCTCGCGCTCCGCCTCCGCGAGGACGCGCTCACCGAGCGGGAGCGAGCTCTCGAGGGGGCCGAGGCCGCGGCGCAACAGCTGGCGGACAGCCTGTCCCTCCGCGAGGCAGCGCAGGAGGAGCAAGCGCGCCGTAATCTGGAAGGTGCCCGCGCCGAGAGGGCCGCACTGAACCAACGGGCCGCTGAGCTCGAGGCGCGGGCGAAGGAGCTGGACGCGAGGGCGCGCAGCGGCGGGGCGGCCGCGGGCGAAAGCGACTTAGCCGCCCGCCTCGCAGCTGCCGAACACACCATCGCCGATCTGCAGGGCGCGCTGGACTCGTCCGCCGGGGAGGTCGAAGCCCTCCGCTTGGCAGGCGAGGTTGGGCCCGGCATGCTTTGGGACGCCGTCTCCCGCCTAGATTGCGCCGGTCGGCAAGTGGGCCTCTGGAGAGGGCGGACCGTAAAGTACGCCGCCAACCAGGGAGGTCTCGCCCAGCGCCTCTCGAAGATGGCCGGGGCTCTCCAACGGCTCCCCGAGGAGCTCGAGAAGACAATTAAGTCATCCTCGAGGGACCTCGCCCAAGGAGCGGTGGAGCTCGTCCTGGCGAGTTACCAGACCAGGGACCCCAATTTCTCTCCATGGATGGCGCTGGAAGAGTTCCCTCCCGGGACCGAGGACCGCGCGCGCGCGCAAGTCCGGGATGCCGCCGACCATATCGTCGACAGCTTCGAGGGCTCGGCCCCTCGGCTCGCGTTCGCCCCCAACTCCGACGAGGAGGGCAATGCCGGTGGTG